ATAAAGAAAGTGGCTGACCTGCATGACTTGGACGAGACGAGGTTGACATAGAAGAGACGAGGTTGGAGATGAGACGAGGTTGGCGACGAGACGAGACTGACGACGAGACAAGACTGACGACGAGACGAGACTGACGACGAGACGAGACTGACGACGAGACGAATGCCGGGCGGTAGAGAACGAGGGTCATCGGTTCCGAGCAATGGTCGACATGGACGACATTGTACAACGACACCGCGCGACGACACAGCTCCACGACGAACACAGACAGGGGTGACGAATAAACAAAGACAGTCCAGCAGTGACGGGAGCAACACTACACGTAAATTACATCTCAGAGTCATGAGCTGAGGAGGCAGAACTCCGCGTCGAGTAAAGTTGGGCGTCAATGTTGGGTCCGAACAAGAGAGGTTTCTTACTCACTAACACAACTGACAACGGGAACAGGTAGATTGATGTAACGACATTTATTAGATATGGGATGACTGAGACCAGGACGAACGAAACGACTACATGGTGATTATTGAAGAGAGCGAGTTGAAGAGAGCTTTTTGAAGAGAGAGCGTTGAAGAGAGAAGCAACGCAATATAAAGGGCCTGGGTGGCTACCTTCGTGCCCATGTTTGCCATAGCTACCCAGGCCCTTTATATTGCGTTGCTTCTCTCTTCAACGCTCTCTCTTCAATAAGCTCTCTTCAACTCGCTCTCTTCAATAATCACCATGTAGTCGTTTCATTCGTCCTGGTCTTAGTCATCCCGTCTCTAATAAATGTCGTTCCATCAATCTACCTGTTCCCGTTGTCAGTTGTGTTAGTGAGTAAGAAACCACTCTTGTTCGGAACCAACATTCCCGGCTAGCACAGTCAGTAGAGCACGAGACTCTTAATCTTAGGGTCGTGGGTTCGAGCCCCACGTTGGGCGCCAATATTGGGTCCGAACAAGAGACTGACGACGGGAACAGGTAGGTTGGTGGAACGACATTTATTAGAGACGGGATGACTAAGACCAGGACGAACGAAACGACTACATGGGGATTATTGAAGAGCGCGACTTGAAGAGAGAGAGAGAGTTGAAGAGAGAAGCAACACAATATAAAGGACCTGGGTAGCTATGGCAAACATGGGCGTGCAAGTAGATACCCAGGCCAAATGAATAATGCATGAACTAATGAATATGAACTAATTACTTGTGGGCCTAACAGTATGCTACGAGGCGCGACACCACTTTCTCCTTTCGCTCGTAAATGTATTTATCACGAGAGGTCGCCCTTTTGCTGCGCGCAATGCCAGCTGCTGGTCTCCAAGAGAGTGCACCCGTAATCGGTTCTTCCTTTTAAAAGGTACCCTTTACCCCAAGGACTTCCGTTTCTACACATATTGCCAGAAATAATACCAAGCAGGTATGATTAAGTCCGGTGGAGTCATAATGATGCCTCCGGTAACCCTAGGGTAGTTGACATTTTGGTAGATCTACGGTTAAAGCCCACGCCCGCCACCCCAAGGACTCTGCCGCCAGGGTTCACCTGCCTCGTGAAATGGGTGGTCGAGGAATTCTATCATTTCGGGATCTCCTGGATAGAACCCGTGTCCGGGTGGCGCGGTACCTACAGGCCCACCCAAACTAGCTCTTCAAACAAACCAAGCGCTCCTGCAGCATCCATGATGGAGGTCAGCTATAGTAGCCATGAACTGTACTAGTTGAAAAAGAAGTGAAACAGCAACGTTTTGTTCATGTTGCGGGACGCGTGCGTAGGCTGCCACGCTCGATTGACTTCCGCTGATCTGCGCGATCGTCGTTGATCACGACTCGACTTTTTCAAATGCAACCCCCCTACTTTCTCTATTGCTATCTACAGGCCAGCTACTGAAGGGTCTTTGTACAAAAATCAGGCACTTGCGATGTATGAGACTGGCTCTGTGCTCGATTTTAGTATGCACTGTCAGCATAGGTCGAAATCGACCTACCGGCACCTAAGGGTTAATAATACTACTAATAATAATAATAACCAAAACCAAACCAAACACAAAAACAAAACCAAACCCAAAACCAATAAAGCCACCCCTATAATAATAATATTCGACGAGGAGAAAATAATTTTAATATGGCACTAAGTAGGACGAGCTGAAGTGACATTTGGATTACTTTATCAACACTGTAAGCGATGGAAACGATGCAAAAAACAATGTAAAGGGTAAGGAAAATACATGTATGAAGAAAAAAGCGATGGAAAGGAAGATGATTCGAACAAGTTTTCTTTAGTACAACGGTGATTCCTGAAGAGTGTTGTACGAAAACTTGTTCGAATCATCTTTCTTTCCGTCGCTTTTTTCTTCCTACATGTATTTTCCTTACCCTTTACATTGTTTTTTTTGCATCGTTTCCATCGCTTATAGTGTTAATAAAGTAATCCAAATGTCACTTCAGCTCATCCTACTTATTGCCATATTAAAATAATAATTTGAACTCGTAACATTTTGTCCTTTTCCTTTCTTCATCCTAGAATAATACTAATAAATTATAATAATCTTCCCGTTTGTCTCTTTCCCTCAAACCAGTTTTATTTTATGACTTGGGGCTCCCTGCGTGCTAGTTTGTACGTGAAGTGTGTGGGTTACAGTGAGGGCTGCGTCCCACCCGCCTGTGTGGATTCACAGGAAGTGTGAGTTACGAAGTCTGAAGAAAATGTTGAACGGCCTCTGCAGGGATGACGACTACACCATAGCTCAGTGGTTAGAGCATCGCTGGCTACAAGCGAGGGTCCCTGGTTCGAGTCCTGGTGGTGACAGTCAATTTCTTCTTCAGACTTTTCCCGTTTGTCTCTTTCCCTCAAACCAGTTAATATTTTATGACTTGGGGCTCCCCGCGTGCTAGTTTGTACGTAAAGTGTGTGGGTTACAGTGAGGGCTGCGTCCCACCCATCTGTGTGAATTCACAGGAAGTGTGAGTTACGAAGTCAGCATAAAAATGTTGAACGGCCTCTGCTGGGATGACGACTACACCATAGCTCAGTGGTTAGAGCATCGCTGGCTACAAGCGAGAGTCCCTGGTTTTGTCCTGGTGGTGACAGTCAATTTTTTCTTCAGACTTTTCAGGTTTGCATCTTTCCTCCAAACCAGTTAATATTTTATGACTTGGGGCTCCCCGCGTGCTAGTTTGTACATGAAGTGTGTGGGTTACAGTGAGGGCTGCGTCCCACCCGCTTGTGTGGATTCACAGGAAGTGTGAGTTACAAAGTCTGAAGAAAATGTTGAACGGCCTCTGCTGGGATGACGACTACACCATAGCTCAGTGGTTAGAGCATCGCTGGCTACAAGCGAGGGTCCCTGGTTCGAGTCCTGGTGGTGACAGTCAATTTTTTCTTCAGACTTTTCCCGTTTGTCTCTTTCCCTCAAACCAGTTAAAAATAATAATCAGGTTGCTCCGGTTTGTATGTACAGGTATCTGATTGGTAACAAACTGAGCCAATTGCCTGCAAATCTTTTTGAACACAACAAACAATTGACAAATTTGTAAGTGATAACTTTGTTGCCAGTGTCAGAATATTGTACGGAAAGGGAGTTCTGAGCAGTATCACTGTGTCCAATTGCGTTGATAAGCGCAACCAAGAATGTTTAGTGAAGATGTCGGCAAAGGCCCCTAACAGATATGCTGGGACAAAGGGGACTAGACCGATGGTCATTTGATGCCCATTGATGCTCCGCGTGGTACTGCTGCTGGGCAGGGATGCTAGCATGATCTTGTCTTGGAACTACCCAGCTTGACATGAAGAAATTTGATACGCCTCTACAACTCACATTATAGAAACAGGGTCCGCACCACTCCTTGAATTCCTTGAAAGTCCTTGAATGTCAAAGCCGGATTTGAAAGTGCTTGAATATCCTTGAATTTTCGTGTGGGTGCTTGACCTCTTTAATCGTGCAATAATAGATACATATTATAACAAGGGACCGAGTGTATATCGAGAAATATAGACCAGTATAAAAACCGAGGCGAAGCCGAGGTTTTTATAACTGGTCGATATTTCTCGATATACACGAGAAAGAAAGCTATATACACTCCTTTTTAGAGAAAGAAAGCTCCTCAGTGAGTTGTTTTCCGATGGTTTTCCTCAGTGGTGTATATACCTCCTTAGTGGTGTATATTGAACAGTGTATATGGAAATTTATAAACTTCATGGGAGATCCGGTATATGAGTGTGGGTGTATATGGAGTGAGGTATAACGAGAAATATCGACCAGTTATAAAAACCTCGGCTTCGCCTCGGTTTTTATACTGATCTATATTTCGCGATATACACTCGGTCCCTTGTTACAGAGGTCAATGTATGAAATATAGAACGAGTAAATGCCGCCATAGCATTCCCTTTGTGCCATATTTTCAAACATGTCATTTACCACGGGCATATTCCATTCCGCATGGAAAACAGCGAAAGTCATACCTGTACACAAGAAAGGTTCCCGCCACGAACCTGCAAACTACCGCCCTATCTCTCTTCTTCCCTGCATGTCCAAAGTATGTGAACGCATCTTTTATGATCACTTAGACAGACCGTTTCTGAGTCCCGCACAATCTGGGTTTCGTAAAGGCGACTCCACCTCCCTTCAACTGACCCGCATCGTGCAGCAGGTGTGCCAGCATAGGGATAACAGAGCGCTTGCTGGTATTTGCTTCTTTGACTTGGCCAAGGCGTCTGATACCGTCTGGCATCGAGGACTTTTGGCCAAGCTCGAGCATGCATTCAGGGTACGTAAACAACCACTCTCCTGGCTGAAATCTTATCTCTCTGGGCGTCATCAGTACGTAACTGTGATTGGCACATCCTCGGCTGCAGAGCCAGTATTGTCAGGCGTTCCTCAAGGATCAATTCTTGGTCCCCTACTATTTGTAATTTACGTAAACGATTTACCTGCAGTCTTCCCTGGAACGTCTCTGTTTGCTGACGACACGACCCTTCTCACCTCATCAGCTTCCCTCACTGGCCTGAAAAACAACTTGCGTGCTGACATTTAGGAAGTTCTTTCCTGGATGTCGTCCTGGAGATTGTCCCCAAATCTATCAAAAACAAAGATTATGCTCTTCCCGCCCCAGCCAGAGTTCGCAACCCTCATCCATGCCAACTTTCCAAATCCAATTGACATAGTGTCTTCTCACAAACACCTTGGTATTGTGATTGACTCTTCACTCTCTTGGGTACCCCACATCGAATATATCTGTACAAAATCAAGTAAATCCTTAGGAATTCTCTCCCCCCCCCCCCCCCCCACTGCTCTTACCTCCCACTTTCTTGCAAGCTTCATTTTATTTAGCCTACCTTCGCCCAATATTTGATTATGCTGATACGTATTGGGTGGGTTATCCTCTTCCGCTGCTGCAAAGCTTGAAATACACCACAAAAAATCCTTAAAATTCTCCTCCGTCAACCCCGCATGCTCTCATCATCCGCCCTTTATAAAATCGCTCACACAACCCCGTTATCACATGGACGTCGTGCACACCTGGCTTCTCTTGTCCATTCTATTAAGCTTGAGTTGTGCCCACCTCATCTCATGTGTTTTAATTGGTTCTCTTCTCTAAGAACTAGAAACTCGCTCTTACTCCCAAAGTGTAACTCATCCACTCTTTTGCGCTCCCCTCTCTTTATTGCTTATTCTGTTTGGCTCACTCTACCCAGAGAAGTTAAAGGGGAAGTTAAGGCAAAAATTAAAATTTCACCAGTTGTAGTCTTCGAGGTGCTGAGTCGAATGGTCTTGGTCCGAGGAAGCTGAGACGCTCCCTTCCTACTTGAATCCCAATCGAACTCGCGCACTTCCACCGAAACTGGGTGACTGCGCCCTACGAGATGGGGATTTGTATGCAAAATGTCACTAAAAGCGCCATTTCGTTCTTATAAAAGCACGGATGACCGCGATTGGCCCATATGTTGTAGTCTTTGGGACGCTGAGTCGACTGGTTTTGGTCCGAAAAGGCTGCGATGCAGTGTTCCTCCTTTATTCCCAATCGAACATGGTTGAAGAAGCGGTCACGTGGTCCTGGGTGCCCAAATCACCTGGTCACCACGCCAGCAGGTGACAACTTTCACACCAAGGTTCAACTCGGGTTCAACTCGAGTGACAGGACTGCACCCAAAAAAGGTCGAACAGGCTAGTAAGTTGTACCCTGCAGGCACGGTGACCAGGTGACTGGTGTACGCAGGAGCACGTGACCGCTTCTTCAACCATGTTCGATTGGGAATAAAGGAGGAACGCCGCATCGCAGCCTTTTCGGACCAAAACCAGTCGACTCAGCGTCCCAAAGACTACAACATATGGGCCAATCGCGGTCATCCGTGCATTTATAAGAACGAAATGGCGCTTTTAGTGACATTTTGCATACAAATCCCCATCTCGTAGGGCGCAGTCACCCAGTTTCGGTGGAAGTGCGCGAGTTCTATTGGGATTCAAGTAGGAAGGGAGCGTCTCAGCTTCCTCGGACCAAGACCATTCGACTCAGCACCCCGAAGACTACAACTGGTGAAATTTTAATTTTTGCCTTAACTTCCCCTTTAAGTATCTGACCTCACTCCGCCTGTTTAAGATCCGTGCCGCCCCTTATTTACTACGACATAAATAGCTCGTTATCCACATGTCCTTTGCGTCTCTGTGTTTTTCATTGTTTTTATTTGACATTATCTTTCTTTACGGAGTTGTTGTTGCTGTTCATTTTGCTACTCTTTCTTTTTCCCTCCCCTTACCTTTATTTATCGCCGTGGTTGGCAATCACCCACTCTCTTAACATTGGCCGGTGTTTCCACCGAGTCTTGAGATGTTGTAATGACTATAAATAATTATATAAAAAGACCGAGGTCCCCCGAGGTTTTTTACGAGGTCTGTATTTCGTATAATGACCGATTATGAAGGCAGTAATATATTTATCACGACATGGCATACCTAGCCTGTTTTATCTGTGTTTTTAGGAAGAAATGAATACTATTGTAATAGTACATAGTAAGCACATATGCCGTTTACATCGGACATTACTTCTCTATAAACAGAAGTTTCAGTTGTCACTTGTAGTATGTTCCCCAAGTTCTTTGACTGAGAATCTGACAGTTGGGGTTCAATTTTTTTTATCGGTTTGCAGGCCTGCCTGCGTTTTTTTCGCCATTAGAATATTTTATTGAAACAAAGAAAAATGATGGCACCTATGTACAGGGGATGGCCCACGCCTGGTATAAAGTAAACGTAAAAGAGAAAAAAAGTAGTACAGTGAAATCGATAACAATAGTTCAGTTCCCACACAATACCGCTCCTGAGCCGGATCAGACCACAATACTAGCCTCGGCAACCGCCAGTGCGGCAGAAGCAGAGACAAGGCGGTGGCAGTGGATCGGTCAGCGGGCACCCCGAAGACAGGCAACACTTGCACGCAGGAGGGCGAAGCTCAGCAGAGCACGAATCCAGGCCTTGACGGAGGAGTAGGCTTCACGAGTCTTCTCGGACAACATGGAGGCAATGCGCTTGTAAAGAGAAATAGCTGAATTGCCCATGCCACCATGTGCCGCGAAAACAACAGGGATGAAGCCTGCCCGCTCAACGTGCTGAACACTTTCTCCGTAGGCCCGGCGCTTCTCACGTTCGTGCCGCTTGTAGCAGGATGCCGCAGATGATGAGCGATTTGATGGAGCGTGCGGGTCGAAGACCCGGACGTCCAGGTAGCTCCGTTCAAACCGGCCGCCATAAATACCGCTCGCGACATCCAGCCAAAACAGGTCATCCCGCACAGCTGTGCGATAGCGTAAGTTCTCCCCGGTCAAGGGCTGGAGGATTGGCTCCACGGGGTTCAAATCCCAACATTTGGCTTCAGATTTTTCTTCTTTCAGTTCTGATTTTTTTCTAAGTTGAGGAAAAAGTTCTAAGTCCCCGGGCTAAGGCCTAGACGAACTAGACCAGAGAAGTGTGAGTGTCTTGTTTTGACTGCAGGAAACTGTATTTCAATATTGTGGCTCAATGTAGTGCTTACGCAGTTTACTGCTTCGAACACATCTTCATTCCTACTCCCAAAGTAACTCTGTTAAATTTATGAAGATGATTGTTCCAACTAGGAACACACGCTTCTTGCCGAACTTGACACTTGACTGACTCACAACTGCCATCCGGAGCAAACAAGGAGCAGGTCGCACCTTCCACTCAGCAAACCTGCAAGAAAGCACCACTCCCTGCTCAATACACGGTGTTTCGGGGAATTCACCCCTCATCAGTTGAGCTTGAGTAGGCTGAGGAAGATTGTGCCTGAAAAGCACCACTTATATACTGCTCTCCAGGCCAAACCATCACCAGGGATACAAACTTACAGAGACGCTTTGTTTCCAGCGTGACAAACACCTCGTGAAGCTCCAGGTAGCAGCGTGAGTCAGAGTCGCTCTTGGAGTTGTGATAAACAGACGTTGAGAGCCAGTATAGCTATTCGCAACGCTGTCACCTCCAACAACTAGTCGCACGTCCGCGTGAGGGACAACAATACGAACTTAGAA